ACGCCAGCGCCTTAAAGTCAGTATGTCGGTCACACCCGCATCGTTTTTATCATTTTGTGGGAAAATATTTGCGGGATACGAAAGGGCTAGTTGGGTAGGGCGGGGCAGAAAGGGTGGATGGATGAGTGCTTTTGTGGATGGATTGATTCGGCGGATTGCCAAGTCGGAAAGCTGACCACTTGCAATCCGGTGCAGAACTCGACGCCCAAAGATATTCGCCATTATGTCTCTGGTAGTTCCTGAGGCCCATCAGCAGTTCCAGGTATGTCGTACTTTGCCGTTAATGGCTATCTCAATGCTGATTGACCGCCACTCGATACTAGCACATCTTGCGTCTGCTGAACACCAACGTCGATGGAAAGCGCAAAATTATGTACGGTGCGTTGTTGCTAGCACTATTGGCTACCGCAAAACACTAATATAATGATGGAACCAGCGTTGACCGAGATCCGTGGTGTTGGCCGTCGGTACGCCAACGTTGTTTGCAAGAAGGCAGATGTTGACCTGAAGAAGCGGTGCGCCCCTTTACACCGATCGGTACCTACTCCCCACTTACTAAACGTACCTGGCAGCGCCGGAGACCTGAACTCTGACGAGCTGGAGCGGATTGTCACAATCATGCAAAACCCCACCCAATTCAAGATCCCCACTTGGTTCTTGAACAGGCAAAAGGATATCATCGACGGGAAGAACTCTCAGATATTGTCCAACGGCATCGACTCGAAGATGCGTGAGGATCTCGAGCGCTTGAAGAAGATCCGAGCACACCGTGGACTCCGACACTACTGGGGCCTCCGGGTGCGCGGGCAGCACACCAAGACCACTGGTGCGTGGTTATCTCTTTACCGCTTTGCGCTTAATGAATTTTTTTTCGGTGGCAGGTCGCCGGGGAAAGACTGTCGGTGTGTCCAAGAAGAGGGGTTAAACGGTGTCAAGCTGGGGTTTGCTTGTGTTTCTGCGTTGCGCTGTTCTCATTTGTATGCTCCTTCATGCCATGCCATATCACAAAATTCACCTGTGGCATGCGTCCGACCTAGTGAAGTTAAGCTTGGATTGCTAAGGACTGTAGATCGGGAACAAGCGCAGTTGCACCTGGGGATCAATCCATGGTCAGTCCCCCGTCAATGGACAAGTTCTGTCCTAATCAAATTTAGTCCCGATCGAGTCTCAAGTGACAAATGATTTACCTGTTATATTTTTGGCTGCTGGGCTCACCAAAAAGGATACAAGGCCTGCAACGTCCTCTGGGGACGTGATGCGGCCGGTAGCCATATTGCTGAAGATCTGCAGTGCCTATCAGTTGCAGTTGTCGCACCAACACTCGAGTACTTTCCTGCGCACGCTCTGGAGCGACACTCATGACAACTTTGTTCCCTGACAGATAAGTAAGTAGGGGTGGTGAGCTTGGGCGAACGACGACGCACACATATCCGTGTTGACCGGCCCGGGTGCATACGCATTTACGGTGATGCCATGTTGGCCCCATTCCCGAGCTGCCGTTTGAGTCAAACTACGAACAGCGAATTTGCTCGCAGAGTATGCCCCCTCGAGTGGAAACCCCGATTTACCCGCGGCGCTGCATGCACCTACAATACGACCTCCACCCCGCGGGATCATTGCTCGCGCTGCTGCTCGGTAACTATAAAGCACGCCTTTAACGTTCACCGCATATACATCGTCCAACATCGCATCGCTTGCTGCTTGTTATATCAGAATCGAGTAGATCAGACCAAAACTGGTACTTACTTTCGAGTAGCGGCGCCCCTCTATATATGCCCGCGTTTGCTACCATCTGCAAACACAGCTATTCACGAACTTGACGAAAATGGAAAATCAGGGGCATACCACATCGATACCACCCAACTCCTTAACCGCCATTTGGACTAGAGATTCCACTTGAGGCTCGCTGGATACGTCGCACACGGCGGGAAGGACTTTGGGTATAATTCCGTGGCTTGACATAACGCATCGTTGGCTCTCGATGCATTCATCAACAACCAGTTGCAACTGATTTTGATTCGAAAGAACGTCTCCGAGAGCGAGTAAGTACCCTTCCGATGCGAGTTCTTGGGCAATGGCATGGTAAATTCCACGTCTCGGTGAAACCCGTAGACGTACTGATTGCAATGGCTCGCCCGATGCCTAAAAGTCGTGACCAACGTCAAATTAGGACTAGGCTTGGTTCTGGCTGCGTACCTTGAGCTGCACCTGTAATCACAGCCACACGAGCGTGCGCCAACGACGCCCCTTCAGCTACGGACATCGCTACGGACGATGGTTGAAAAATATCAGAGGTATGGTTGGTCGGATTAAGACTCGCCTGCTCGAAACTTCCGCCTTCTTCGGGCGAGCAGCTTTACATGATAATCTGTACATCCCGAGATCTTCTTGAGTAAACACAAGTCACCTCCAGAAAAAGGAACTTGATTCATCGATCGAATGTGTGCGCTCAACCCGTATCGGTCCGAGGCTTGCTGCTGTTGGTGACGTTTAAGCAGCCGTTTGGCAACCGCTTGCGCCACGAGTCTGGCCCATCGGCCCAGAGAGTGTTTGAAAGAGTCAGAATTTGTGTGTAGCTGTATTTAGATTCTACTGTCCCGTCCTATCTCGAGCTACCTTCTGTGAGCGGGCCAGGTTAATTGCATCACGGGTGGGGGAGCATAATCGATTCTAATCCATAAGTAGCCCCCCGTTTATCGATATTGATTGGCCGTGAAGCTCCCGTCAGCGAGGCTTTTGCGTGGCCAATTCCCAACTCACCGGCAATGTTTTTAGCTGCGGGACTCACCAGAAATGACACAAGACCTGCAACCTCTTCTGGTGTGGTAATCCATCCTGTAGGTGCACTAGGGACAGCCTAGGGTTATATTAGTTCTGGCGGCCATCTCTGCAGTTTAAACAACTTTCCCCTTGATAGGCATCGAGGTGACCACCGATCAAGTTCCCTGCAGAAACCAATGTGAAACCAACAGCATGTATGGGAGCGAGGAGAAACGCACACATATCTGTGTCAACCGGCCCAGGTGCATATGCGTTGACCGTAATTCCGTGCTTTCCCCACTCACGAGCTGCCGTCTGAGTCAGACCACGCACGACGAATTTACTTGCGGAATATGCTCCAGCCTCCGGGGCACCTCTTTTACCGGCTCCGCTGCATGCGCCAATGATGTGCCCACCGCCGCGAGGGACCACTGCCCATGCCGCTGCTCGGTAGCAGTATAATACTCCTTTGACATTGACCGCATATATTTGGTCAAAGTCCTCATCAGTAACTACTCGAAAGTCATCAATTTCCGTGACTAGAGGAGCGCCCAGCACTCACCGTCGAGCGGCATTGCCCTCTTGAATATTCCTGCATTGGCGACCATCTGGTCATCGTAGTAAAGTATGTTCACAAAGGAGCAGCTGACATACCACATCGATCCCACCTAGTTCACTTACTGTAGGCACCAAAGCTTCCACCTGAGATTCGTTGGAAACATCGCACAACACGGGGAGAACTCTGGATATGAAACCAGGGGATACACTCTGCTGGATCTTGATGCATTCGTTAACAGTGGATTGCAATTCACTGTGTTTTGATGGGAGATCCCCAAGAGCCAACAGATACCCCTTGGCCGCAAGTCCCGTCGTTGATATCCTTGGGCTTCGGCCACTCGGTATAGATATCCGGCGTACCTTGGGCAATAGCTCGCCCGATACCTGGATAAGGCGTGAGAATCAAAGGTTGGTGGCCTTGGATCCTAAAGTACCTTGGGCCGCACCTGTGACCACGGCCACCGGAGAATGCGGTTGAGTCGAAGCCATCGGAGTAACCTGC